GTCACATTGAAATGATTTCTTGTATAAGAGGTGTGCTGTGAAAGGAAAATAAAATCATCAATGAATTCTTACTTTTTTGATGACGAATTCCGTTATGGTAAAGTCGAGTTGTAAAACTTATTTCTTTGGATTGTTGTGTTTTTTTAATGTGAATTTTGCGGAGTGGGTGATAGATATACAATAGAAACGAGTCGTCCTATCATATGCTGTTAGTTGCGCGTAAATTAAGTTTATGGGCTTTGAAGTGTTTAGGAATGGGTCGTTTTTGGTTAGTATTTTAATGCGCCATATGAACACTCATAAACAAGTGACTGCATTGGGTCAGTGAGAAATCAGGCAAAAGTTTGAGGGTTTTGGTACCATATGAGCGAACAATGAATTCCTCTATCGAGTCATGAGAATCGTTTGAATTAATGACCACATATATCGCCAGTTTACGTCAGTATTCTGGATTTCGATTGTTATTATTCAAATCAGCATTTTTATAATCGTCAGATTGTTGTTTTGTTGCGATTTGGTGGATTGCCTACAGATAGTGTGTGAAAAGTATAATTTATTGATATGCTGAACCAAACAATTGTCTGTCCGCGAATCTCCATCATCAGAGTCACCAATAAATTGTAAGTTTCAGTTTCTTCCAGTCCATTTCAGAAATTTTCGAAATCATATGAAAATGCCCATAGAAATAATAATAATGACGGCAATGATGTCAAGAATGACAATAGAGATAATAGTGCATTATTGTGCATTTCTCGCATCGCAATGTTTGGTTTTTGAAAGATCATTTGAATTAATTTGAACATCTTTCTGCAAATATTGTTCTATTTGCAGGAAGCACACACTATCAGGTGATGCATATCAGTTTCTTCACAAAAGTGAGATACCATCGTACCATTTTCAGAAGAGTTTACGGCGATTACCGATTCCGAAACTTGAAAAATCATGTGAAAGGTGAACCATTGAAATATAATACTGAGAAATTATATTTAGAAAAAATTATATCGAGAGAGAAAAAAGAACGTGAAATATAATATTGAGAAAATGTTTTGTTAGTTTTCAACTCAACAATTCATCGAGTATATTATATGATGATGATATGACCAAAAGCGTATGATATCGCACTTCATAGTAATCGCACTTCATTACACTTCATTACGAATGCCCATTCAATTGCGGCAATGACGAAGTTAATTGACTTTCAGATTACTTGCATCTGCAAGCGCTGTTCTTCATGAAATTCCATACATGCTTCTGCATTCAGCTGTCAAAGATTTCCGCAAGTTTGATGGACCCGGTAAGTTGTTGCCATAGGATG